GGATTCATATCTAATAATGACCTATCTAACTTCAAAAGAAGAGCGAATTTGATTTTTTGACCCTTGCCACCATTTGTTCGATTCTTGTGGACATTGCCTCTTAATAGCTACTTAATGACTGTCTTTATTGCTTCAAGAAGAGTTTAGAGTTTTTTTCTCCATGAAGTCTTGTGGTTCTTACAAGTTCGTTGAGGGTTTTTTTATTGACCAAAGTAACTGGCTTTCTTAATATTTGTCAACTCAGAGATTTCAACGGCTTGTTTTTTAGAGCCTGATAAAAACTTTTACTGCCTCATTATTATAGCTATACTGACTGATTATTTTGAATGGTGGAAGCCAAATAAAATAAATAAAAAGCATTTAGGGATCCAAGTTTGTAGACTATTGAGAATCACAAGAATATAATTTTAATGGTGTTGAGGGCATCCAAACTAATTCTACTTCCCATGGTGAAACGAAATTGTCAGTTCTTCTTTGGTAAACTTGCATAAAAAAGCGAAATAACTTCGCATTTCCTGTTAAGTTTTACTTTTTAAACAATGCGACTCACCGGAAACGAGCAATAAAACAATTCGTTAAAAAGCCCAAAACCTGGTACAGATCTCTCTTGTCAATTTCAGTCCTCGTCTTTTTCCTCACTAACTTCTTCGATATCACTAACTTTTTCCATATATATATACATATTGTCAAACACAATATTCAGCTGTATGACGAGCAGCCATTTTGTTTGAATGTTACGCGCGAAACCGCTGAACTAAAGGAATGGCGAACAGGCCAGGCCCGGCGTGATAGTAAGTTATTTGTCGACAAATATGGAAGAAGACCGTTAATATCCATGGCATTAGAGATCGATTTTCGACGTCAAGAAGCAAATGAGTAAAAATTTCAATTTCTATCGTCGTTCTTTGCGGTGCGTGACGACCAGCTAAATTCTATACGCTTCAGCATGCGACCTTGGCTGATAAAATGACCTTGGTCTTAATAATTTTTAATGACAGGCTCAGCTTCATCCAATAATTGTTTATTATACCACGTGAGTTTGATTGACACATTTCGATTCGGGGCTACACCTTAAAATACTGCTTTCACTAAAAGGTCGCGTTTTTCTTGGAAAACATCTAACCCGAGTACGACTCGTTTTGATTCAAGTTTGTTTTCGAATTACCCTCGTTCAGGACTAAACCAAGATGAAGCTCCTCATTGTAACACTTTGCGTTCTTACTTATCTTATCCCTGCTGGTAAGTACCTTACTATTAAAAAATGATAAAATAATAACGGAAAAACAAAAACGAGCTAAGGGGTTTTCTTCCGCTTGTTGTTCGTTTCTATACTATCGGGGGCGTGTACATTGCAAAAAGACTGATCCGAAATCAAAGTATTCTTTCTTGGTGATAAGATCACTTAGACTTCCCTTAAGAAATATTCGGGACAACACCAAATATTATTAAAGGAATTAACTAGAAACGAAAAACTAGATATCAACGATGGGTTTAAGAGCTTTTCCGCAGTCAGTAGTGGCATGTTTGCTCCTCGACTACGTTGCACTAACCAGGAATCCAAAAAAAAAACCTTAAAGTGTTCTTTCTGGTATAAAAAGGCAGAAATCTCTTTAACTTTTTAGCAACAAGCAAAACTGACAAAACCTTACTTAAGAATCCAAAAACAACTTGTGTTCTTTTTTTTTTTTTTTATTTATTTATTTATTTATTTATTTATTTATTTATTTATTTATTTATTTATTTATTTTGATAACAACGTAGACATCTCTTAAATATCTTAGAAACAGCACCAGTAAGTTCTTATTTAATGAATTAAACTGAGAACAGATAACTAGATATCAACAATAGATTTTCATGAGTGCTTGGTGTTTACTCACTGCATGTTTACGTAGCAATAGAAATTCCCGGAATCAACAAAGGAAGTGTTCTTGGAATAACGACTTCTTAAAACTCTTAAGAATTCGAAGATACCGAATCTCGAAGGAATTGCAGGAAGAAAACTGTTTTCAAATGTTTTCAGTC